CTTGCTCAGGCTGGTCTCGAACTCCTGAGCTCCAACAATCCACCTGCCTTGGCCTCCCAGAGTGCTAGGATTACAGGCGTGACCCACCACGCCCGTTTTTTTTTTTTTTTGAGACAGCGTCTCTCTGTCACCCGGGTTAGAGTGCAGTGGTGCAATCAAAGTTCACTGTAACTTTAAACTTCTGGGCTCAAGCGATTCTTCTGCCTCAGCTTTCCAAGTAATTGGGACTACAGGCTCGTGCCACCATGCCTGGCTAATTTTTCTATTTTTTTTGTAGAGACGGGGGTCTCCCTCTTATTCATGCTGGTCTTGAACTCCTGGTTTCAAGCAATCCTCCTGCCTCGGCCTCCCAAAGTGGTAGGAATACAGGCGTGCGCCACTGTGCCCAGCTATGTCACCAATTTTACAGAGGAGGAAACTTAATCACAGCAGGGTTAATCCATTTGCCCAAGGTTACACAGCTAGTAAGTAGCTACGATGCAAACACACGCATTGTGATAGAATTATTGTATTAATGGCCCCAATTCTTCACCAGTGTAGCCACACCCTCTGTCTCATAATTCTTCAGTGTCCTCCTATTGCTAGGGTAGGAGAGGTTGGGGGCCATACCCCACCACTTAACTCTGGGTTTGGCCATATGATTTGCTTCGGCCAACAGAATTAGGTGGAAGTGCTGGTGTGCCAGCTCTGAGCCTAAGACTCAAGAGACCTTGCATATTTCTGCTTGTGCTCAGTTGTGGCCATGAGAAAAACACGCCTGGGCTAGACCAGGTCCAAGGCCCCAGTCATTCCATCCAAGGCCAGCTAGCGCTGCCAACACAGCCCCCACTCTGATCCCAACATGTGAATGAGCCCAGCAGAGACCAGAAGAACTGCCCAGCTCAGTCCAGCCTAAATTGCTGAGTTCAGACTGGATGGCTAAATAAATGCTTAGTGTTTTAAGACACTGAGTTTCAGGGTGGCTTGTTATGCGGCATTATTGTGGCAATAGCTAACTTCCATGTTGCTAGACTCCAGAGCTATGCTCTAGAATGCTGCTAGATTGTAAATAGGAAATTTAAAGGGGTGAGTGACATCAGATACATCTCCTCCATCCTCTGGAACCTCAGACCTGGTTCTAAGACTAAGAAAGGAGGGGGTTAGGAAATAGATGTCCCCCTTCTCAAAAGACCCAGACAATTGCCAACCCTAGATTCTAGGAAGGCAGGGTCTCAGTCTTGGTCAGTATAATAGAAATTGTCCCATGGGTCGGGCGTGGTGGCTCACGCCTGTAATCCTAGCACTCTGGGAGGCCAAGGTGGGAGGATCGCTTGAGCTCAGGAGTTCGAGACCAGCCTGAGCAAGAGTGAGACCCAGTCTCTACTAAAAATAGAAAAATTACCCGGGCGTGGTGGCGTGTGCCCGTTGTCCCAGCTTCTCGGGAGGCTGAGGCAGGAGGATAGCTTGAGCCCAGGAGTTTGAGGTTGCAGTGAGCTAGACTGATGACATAGCACTCCAGCCTGGACAACAGTACAAGACTCTGTGCCCCCCCCCCAAAAAAAGAAATTGTCCCTTTTGGTAGACACACCAAAATCCATTTTCATTCTTCCCTTTTTCCATGGAAAGCTGAAAGCGATTGCATGGCTACCTACCACCTCTGTGACCTTGGCCAAGTCATTTCCCCTTTCTGGGCCTCAGTTTGTTCATCTGTAAAATGATAATGATAAGAGTACCCATTTCATAGGGGAGTTTGAAGATGAAATAAGTTAATGATGCAGGGAACACGGTATCTGGTACCCAGCAAGCCCTCCATACATGTTCCTCACTACATTTCTTCATCCTCCTCCCATTCCATATCTCAGCAAATCAAAGTGCCTGTTCTGGAGTCAGACAGAAATGAGTTCAAGTCCTGCTTTCTTCTTCCTGTATCCTTAACCGGGGGTATCTTTAACTTGGCCTCTCTGCGCCTCAGTTTCCCTCCCTGTTAAACGGTGGTCACAACTGTTTCTTCAATGGAGGACACTTGGGGATGGGAAGGCGCTCAGCACTTCTGAGCCCTGAGGCCGAGGAACAGCTTTGGCCATTATGTGACTGAAGAAGGAAGGGAGAAGGCGGCGGGGAGGCGGGGGAGAAGGGGTGTCCTGTGGGCCTCAGCAAAGGCTGGCCCCAGCGCTGAGCTGCGGGTGGGATCAGATGCTTTAACCCTTGCAAGGCCGCGCCTCTCTCCCTGCGGTCCGGACCCCGTGCCCAAGGAGGAGGACCTGGAAAGGACAAGGCCTGAGGGTAAGACCCACGCGCAGCGCAGAGGCTGGACTGGGTTTGGGGTTGGGAGCTGGTTCTGCCCTCGATCCCCTGCCTCCCGCCGGCCGGGGAGACCCAGGGGCTCAGGCCATGCCCATAGCGCGGAGGAGGGATGCTCGCAGGTGGGGAGATGCTGGGCGGAGGGACCATCCGCGCCACCGCCACTCACCTGGGGCCGCGGCCGCGGGGGCCGCTGACCTGGCAGTCTCTGCGCCCGACCGGCCTCCCTGTAGGCGTCCGCGGCCGGGCCCGGCCCGGCTCAGCTCGGCCCCGCCGGCCCGCCGCTCGGCCAGATCCGCATGCGCCGCCGCCGCCGCCGCCGCGCCTTCCTCCGCTCACGCCGCCGCCGCGCTCCGCGCGCCCCCGGGACCCCCTCCCGCCCGCGGGCCCCGCAGCCCCGGCCGCCTGCCGCGCTGGCCCACGCGCCGCCACACACCGGGCCACGGCGCGTGACACACGGCTGCACTCGCGAGGGGCACAGGCAGCGTCACACACAGTCGCACACTCCCGCGAGGTCGCACACTCCCACGCTGCCACACACGCACACCGGGTCACTCAGAGCGTCCCAACCCACTCTCCGCACCCTCACAATCACACGGTGTCACTCCCTCATATGGGGTCATACATGGTCAAACCTGTCACATGCAGTCACACACATAGTGTCCCACACTGGAACCGTACCTGACGGTGTCACACTACCACATACTCGAATAAGGTCGCCACCACCCATGAAGTGTCACACACAAACACACATGTCACACACTGTCGCACACTCCCAGGCAGTCAGAGAGAGTGTCATATACCCACACATCACACACAGCTGCACAATCACATCGCGTCACACACTTTTCCACACTCGAATTTGTCAAGGCAGTCACTGTTCACGTCATACCACACACTCATACGTCACACAGTCACAGGGGTCACAAATAGCTCCACAACGGAAACGCCTACAGCCACACACTCAAATGGGGTCCCAGTGGCACACATCTTTACATGACACATGTGGCATCACACACCGTCACAGCCTAATGGTCACACACTCCCATATAGAACACCTCACACATGTTCCCCACTCACCATATCACACAGGCTGACCCACGGTGTCACCACAAGGTCACCAAAGAACAGTATCAATGCCCGCCACACGTGGTGTCACACACAGTCACACTGTAACACAGGGTTACACACAGAAGACACAAGGTGTCGCCCACAATCACGCTCTCTCTTGTGGTGACTTAGGGTCACACGGGGTCATATAGGTACATAGACACTCAGTCACAGTGTCTCACACACATACACACGCTGTCCTCCCTTATTTTGTCACGGTCCCTGTTCGGGGATGTCCCGAGGCATAGTGTGAGTCCCAGATCTGCCTCTAGGAGCTGGGAGAAGGAGCGTGAACTGGGAGAGACCGGTGGGCGTGGCTCTGTTAGCCCCGCCCTCCCCGAGTGGCTGGAGCGCGGGCTGAGTGACACGCTCTTTTGGCTCCGCCTTCCGGCCTGAGTGGCGGACGGAGAGGGCGGTGCTGGTCGTTGGTCGGGAAGCGAATGCGCGCTGAGTCCCGCCCCGCCCACCTGCGTTCTTCCCAGTTGGAGGCGTGGCCTGTGTGGCCCCGCCCCTTGGCTTGAGCCGGAGCGGAGCGGGGCTGAGGCGTGGCCCTAGGAGCCAGCTCCGCCCCGTTGTTCCCACTAGAAAAGGGCAGAGAGCGCCACCCAGCAGCCACTGGGTTCCCGCGTGTCCCGAGACCCTGGAGCTTTGCGCTCCCACGACCCCGCAGCATGGCCGTCAAGAAGATCGTGATCTTCGGCGCCACTGGCAGGACCGGGCTCACCACCCTGGCACAGGCGGTGCAAGCAGGCATGAACTGGGGCGGGCGGGGGATGTCACGGGGTTCACCGGCATAGCATTAGGAAGGGGCAGCATGGATCCAGGCCGAGGCTTCTGGGGGCGGCCATCAGTGCTCCATACAGGTGTGTGAGGACTCGGGGCAGAAATGGGGGAGCCATGAGATCCAATTTTATGTGAGTCCAATGCATAGGAATTGACCGTGGGAGCCTGAGGACTCCAGTGACACCATTGTGTGTAAATGCGAGGCTCTTATGGCAGTGTGGTGGTTGTTATTGTGGTGCTGGTGGTGGTAGTTGTTAGCACACCCAGAGTGGGTTTGTTTACTAAGCCAGGCCCAGCACCAACCCATCTTCACATGTGTTAAATCCTCACAGCCCTTATATGGGGTGGGAATTAGTATAGTATTACCCCACTTGACAGATGAGAAAACTGAAGCCTGGAGAGTGACTTGCCCAATATCACACAGCTGTTAAGTGACAGTACTGGGATTTGAACCCAGCTCATGGTCTTAACCACCAAAAGTCCACAGGCTCTTGGCTTGGCCACAAGAGCTGGTAATTGAAAAAGTTGGGGGGCAGGTTGCTGTAAGCACCTAATGGAAAGCAGGCACAGAGACATGAGTGAAGACTTGGGGGCACTGGTCCTGGGAATGTCAATGAGGGCTGCGAATTCAGAGTTCCCCCAGGAGAAGGGGTAGGAAAGGGGATAGCCATCCTCCAGCATCCCCTGCCCCCACGGTCCAGACTATGGCAATTCCCAGCAGGGCCTGAGACTTCCAGATATAGGGCCCCACCCCTGCTGGCTTTGGTGACTCTGAAGATACTGACTATCTGGGTCCTCCAAAAGGGTGGAGGCCACCAGGATGCCACTCTATGCTGTCTCCCAGCCCAGCCCTCCCTTGGAGGAACTATGCCTGAAAGTTCCTCATTAGATCCATGGCTTTCCTCCTGCGCAGGGAGACCTATGAGGATCTTGACTTGCAGAGAGCGGGAGAGCCATGGGCCTCCCCATTAAAACCAATTTGCTGATAAGCATTTCTGGGGGGAAGAGTGGGGAAGGAAGTAAGGAAGAAGTTGAGAGGTGCTGAGTCATCTGGAAATCCACTGAATTCCACTCCCGCATCCTGCTGGTCACAGGTGGGACTGCACCCAGGGGAATTGAGAGCTGGGGCATATGGTGTAGCTAACTCTGAAAAGTCTCTTCCAAGCTCTGAGCCTCATTGTCCCCATCAGAAACAGCAAGGGCTTAGATGAACTGGGGTTCTCAATGGTTCTGCAGGGCCAAGAGTCATGACAGGCATGAATTCTAGTGCCAGCCATGTTCCATGCATAGTTGTTGCTCAATAAACACTCTGGCTGGGTGAATTCAGATTATACCCTGGCACTGAATTCTGCTGGATCAAAGTCACTTAGGTAAAAATTCAACGTTGTTCACCTACTACCTGTGTGATCCTGCCCCAATTGCCTAAAATTGCCTGTTTCCCCATTCTCAAAATGGGCAGGAGAACAGTATCTACCTGGTAGAGTTGTCGCAACCTGGTGCTTCTCAAACTTTGAGTCATAGTGAGTTCTGAAGTATATTTAATTGGTCAAAACAGTATCAAAATGTATCACATGTTAAATATTAGTCTTATGAAACCTTTGTTTCAATTCTATATCTGTGGGTTTGTGTGCACTGAGTCAGACTGTGAAATCTCTTTTGTAGTAAGGATTGAGATGAAAAAAGCTTAAAAAGGGAATGATCTCTGCAATTCACTCTCAAATAGTAGGGGAAAATCGCATATATACATCTATTTATATATGTATAT